CGCAGGCACTGGGGACGCTTGTGCCGGGCGCGCGCCGGGCGGGCCTGAGCGCCGCGGAGGGAGCCTAGCGGCGCCTGCAGCAGCTGAGCGGCTGGTGCCTGGAGGGCAGGTCGAGTCTCTTGCGGCTGAGGTCAGCGGCTGCGGTTGAAGAGGACTGCAGCTGTTTCTCCTCTTACACTGTCGCTATGCGCGGAGGTTAAAAACCGAAAATGCCTTAAAGATGGCAACAGTTCTGTCAACGTGATCTCTAAACCCTCAGCTCCAGGGCCTCAATGAATAATATTAAACACCACGAAGACCTTTGCGACATTGCCCTCTCTCTGGACCCAAAATTGTGTTCTTAAAATGTGCTTTCAATAATCGTGTCCCTACACATCTTTTCTAATACTCCAGTACTATTTTCATTTATCTCTTTTTTTTTTAACCCAAAAGGCTTCCATGGGCCAGATTTTAGGGGGTGTCGGGATAATCTGAACCTAACACATTCATCAAATGATCACACAGGTAATTGGGTCTGAGAAGGATAGGAAAGGGCTCCTCGGAAAAAGGAACGTGAGAGCTGAAGGAGTGGACGCTGACCGACTGGAAACCGAGGGTGCAGGTGCACAGAACAGGTGACAGGTGGCAGGGTCTGAGTCCCGAGAGGGGCTGAGCGTGGTCCGGTGAAGCTGGGCCTAAACCCGAGAGAATGGGCTCTGCTGGGCCGGCGGCCACATACACGTCATGGGTGTGCTGCTGAGACAACAGGGCAGCTGAGCAAGACAAGGTTTTACATGACTGCTTTGTCTCTGAAAAGTGGGTGAGAGGAGATGCGCATGAGAGGGCAGGCGCTGGCTCCTGGGCGGCGGCGGCAGCCCCGTGTGAGACAATGGCGGCTGGGACCAGGGCAGGCCGTGGGCGGATGGAGACCGGCGCAGAGGTCCATGGGAAGCAGCGCCGGCAGGGCGTGGTGATTGGTCGAGCGTGGGGGCGGGGCGAGGAGGGGGCGGAGTCTGGGGCCCTTTTTCAGAGGTGCGGCTCCCACGGGCCCTGTGGATGCCCATGCCCCTGATGGAGATAAGGAGCCCTGGAGAATGATGGGTACTTTCTGGAGGGTAGAAAAGCGATGTGGGCCGGAAGGATATATTTAGGACTCTATGCGTGGATGGGAAGTGAAGCCACGCGCGAGATTGTTTAGGGAGCGAGGGTAGAGTGACAAGAGACACGAAGGACGTGGAGCTGAGGGATTCCTTCCAGCGCGCGGCGCTTGGGAGAGGGCCTATGGCCAGCCAGGTAGGAAAGAGGGGAGGGGGGGAGATAAACGGTGGTTATCAAGATGAAGCTTAGGAAGGCTGGTGCGTTTTTCATTCATTCAGTAAATGTTAAGTACCTACTGTGCACCAGGCACTGTACTACTAGGAACTCGGTAGATATCAGGGAATGATAAAATGGTTCTGCCCTAATGGAGCTTCCATGCCGTTGGAGAGACAAACTAAACAAACAAGATAACTTTAGATAGTGATAAACCAATAAAATATAATAGTGAGAGAGGACATGGGGGAGTGGAGGAAAGAAGGAGCCTTTAGAGAGAGTAGACAAGGTCTGCCTGAGGAGGTACTAGCTGAATCCTAAATGAAAAGAAGGAGGTAACCTGGTGGAGATCTAGGGGAAGAATATTTCCATTGTCAAGAGAAATGATTTTGAAGTTAAAAAAAAATGTTCAAGGGAGGCCAGTGTGGCTGACCCATAACAAAGAAGAGGAGAGGAAAATGAGATCAGAGAGATTATAAAGGCTTCTCTGACGTTGACCTTATAGACCATGGTAAGGAGTATGGCTGTGTTCAAAAATCAAAGCACAAAAATCATGGAAAATAATTAGATGCGAATAGAGAAACCTAACAGCAGTAAGTGTAAGTAGGATTTTAGCAAAGAAATTAGAAGGGGGAAGACCTCTCCTTGGCAATATTTTATTTTTAATGAAAACAGTTCAGCCCTAGCTGGCTTGGCTCACTGGTTAGAGCGTCAGCCTGGTTTGATTCTGGCCAAGGAACAAACAAACAAAAATAGTTCGTAATAAAATAAGGAACACCACTGTTCATACGGAAGTAAAATCCAGTGGCTTACTTTTGTGTCACTGACCTAGTTTCTAGCAGTAACAATACTATAGGTAGTCAAGTGATGCCTTTGGAAATGTTAACAAAGCAGGGTTACAGAGTATAAATTTCATTAAATATTAACTAAAATGTCACGTTGTAAAAATTGAAATTTTGCACATTAAAGTTAGGTTAAAGAGCCTGTGACCTATATTTCAAGCATGGATTGGAGGAGTACAAGTCACAGTCTTGAAAAAGAAGTCATAGTAAAGGATATATGTTGTAAAAATAAATCTTAGACTTAAAAATAGGACTGGTATTGTGGTGGATTATATTATACCTGCTTCCTCTCCCTAGAAGGGGATATCACTTATCTGCCTTATTAATGTCAGGCTTCATAAGATGACTTGTTTTATTAGCAAATGAGACTGAAAAAAAATGTGTGATGCACAAGTAGATGTTTTAAGAGCCAATAGGTGCCATATTCTCTCTTTTCTCTCTGCCACAAGATCAGCAATGTTCTAGATAGAATCTTGGGTATCAGGATGGAAACTACCTGGAGTAGAGACATTGCTGGCCTGCTGCTGCCATGTATTGAGAATGAGAAATAAATATGTATTGTTACAAGCCACCAGATTTGAGAGTAGTCAATTACTGCAGCATAACCTAGTCTACTTTGACTAATAAAGAATTTGGCACCAAAAACGTGGTGGCATGTTATAATAAAAATCCTAAAATATGTATGTGGTATTTGATTCCTGGCAACAGGTGATAAGGGAACTATTATCAGAGGCTAGAAGGATGGCAATCTGTTTATGCAGTGCTGAAACGTTTGGTGAAATAGTTCTCAATTCATTGGAAAACAGTCAATGTTCCTGATGAACTCCTAGCTTTCAATGAAATGGCAGGTAAAGGGTATTTTAGCAGCATGTATCAGTTATTATTAGCAACAGTTGACAAAAGATATGGACTCAAAATAACTGATCAGTTTACAAGCTGTAATGACAGGGAATAGAGCATCTAGTAATTAATTTATAGACTTGCCTAGTTGGAAGATGGAACTCATCTCCAACTGTATAAGATAAAAGTGAGAAGGTTCACTCCCCTCCCTGGTCACGTGTGGGAGGTAACCAGTCAAAGTGTCTCTCTCACAAGGATGCTTCTCTCCCCACCCCCACCCCCTTCTACACTCTCTGAAAAAAGTAATGGAAAAAGTATCCTCAGGTGAGGATTAACAACAACAACAATAACAACAACAACAAAACCCTCAAGGTAAGGACCCATTCAGGAATGTAGCCATCACACCTTTGTTGAAACATCTCAATAAGTTAAGGTGTCTCAGTAAATCTTCTCAACTGAACAATTTGAAAGTCAAATAGATAAAGGTGTAGCTCTCTCACCAAAGCCTGATAGGATCAAAGTGACTGAAATTAAATCTAGAGAAAGAAAGAGGTATCTCTAAAAAGAATTGTGAGTATGGCTTTTGATGGATGGACTTTACTGGAATCAATAGAAGTATACCAAGTACTACTAAAACAAAACAAAACAAAACAAAAAAACATCAGCCTTGGAATAAAGAGTCTGTGACTATCTGCGATGTGTAATGATACTTGGATCCCCCAATCTTCTATAATGTCCTCTTTAGTGGATCTAAGACAAGACTTTCCAGAGGGGAGACTGGAGCCACAGAGAAAAGTAGACTAGAACAAATACCCATATAGCAAAATCAGGGCCTAATCAAGGAATATTCCACACCTTCAGTCAGCAACAACTTCTGCTTTGTGAGATTTCAGGACCAATGTATGTCTCCCATTCTTTCTCTTTCTGAACAGGAAATTCATTGTGGTTATCCAGTCCCTGTTTAGGCATTGTATTTTGCATGTTCTGAGGCAAATAACTTGACTTTGTTACTTCATAGGTCTCCAGATCAAGAGGAAACTTATCGAGAACAAACATAGAAATAACAGTATCACTCAGAGATCACAGGCTTTGAGCTGGCAATAATGATAATATAGGACTTTTAAGTTATCTCCTTTGGTGAGGAGGGTGAGTATATTTTGAAACAGAAAAGGAGAAAGACTGGAATTATTGCAATCAGAAGGGCAGACTGTGGTTGTCTTTTTGTTCATAAATATTTAATGTCCTTACTGGGAAAAGATTATATTTGTGTCTCCCTGTTTATATCAAGCTTAACCAGATGACTTGATTTGGGTAATAAGGGTACAAAAATAATACTGATAATACAGAAAGAAAGAAGACTGTGGGGTCTGTGAATAACTTAATGAAGACTATGATCTTTGCAGAATGATCAAGACAAAAAAAAGAGGAAAATTTGCATTCCATATAGATGAAATAGCCTGAATAAAGCAGAAGAAATGAAAGTTCAGTTTAAGTGTACAATGTATAGAGGAAATTGAGATGAGGTTAGAGTGATAAGATCTTGGGCTATATAGGAAGGTGTTACAGAAAATGAAATGGAAAAGGTTAACCCAGCCCTAGCCAGTTTGGCTCAGTTGTTAGAGCATTGGACTGCAGATTGAAGGGTCCTGGGTTTGATTCCGGCCAAGGGCATGTACCTCGCTTGCAGGCTCAATCCCTGGCCTGAAACCAATGGATGTATCTCTCTCACATCGATCTCTCTTTCTCTCCCTTCCACTCTCTCTGAAAAGCAATGGAAAAAAATAATCTCAGGTGAGGAGAAAGAAAGGAAGGAAGGAAGGAAGGAGGGAGGGAG